ATGATACCAGCATAGGCAATATATTAGCGCTAATTAATTCATCAATAGGCGGATTTCGATCACTAGAAAGCACTTTTCTTGCCGATTGGACGACCATCAACTTAGTCGCAGGGTTTGTTGTCTCTGCGTTGGCTACAATGTCTTCTAGGCTGAGGAGTGGAGGCCTCTCATTAGATTCAAGCTCCGTATCGACAAGATCTCCGCGAGCATTACCTTCAATATCACAAGGAATATTGCGTTTCTTGAGGCGAGTTTCTTCTCGTTTATTCTTACGTAGTTCAACCTGCCCCTCTTGGCGCCTTCGCCTCATTTCCTAGAAATTAGATAGGATAATAAAGAGGAGAGATTTTACATCTCATAAAAGGAATGACTTACGTCGACACTCTTTCCAGCATTCTTGAAGGCATTTAACCTAGAGTTCGTATCGGCCATCATTACATGAAGGCGGAGGTAACGAAAGTGGGAGTAAGCGCGCAGTGAGGTAATAATTTCTGAAGAACTCATATTTATAAATATTTATAAAAATTTCTAATAAATACAATTATTAAACATCAATTATAATTGATTACACTTTAATTGGTCTGAACATTCAGTAAATTATTAAAAATTCAAAATACGTTTTTTAGCTTAAATAAATAGTGCTGGAACAATATTTTCAAAACATTCATGTCGTTGCCATCCGAGTTTGGTGTCGCTGCTGGCCCCGATGACTCACTACTTGATGATAATGATGATTGTACTTTTACATTATAGTTCACTAATATTTAGTTAATGCCAGCGACGATCTTCTTGATAGTATTACAAGGATTGCCTTCGAATCTGTAGCTTATGACTTACTTTATTTATTATTAGGGCATCGACTTAAAGGAATATTCCAAGCAAGTAGAAAAAAAACTTATGCATCTCAAGAGGGATTCAGCTAAGCTGTGTATGATCTAGCACATACATAACTAATTACCTAGATATAAAGTCCGAAAGTAAAGTTCTAGGCCTGTATAAA